CAGCTGATCACTACAAGGTCCTTCAGAGCCTCTGGCTGTATTGTCCTGGCTCCTCACTACTCACACAGAGAGGCTGCTGACAGGAGGGCTCTATTGTCCTTGCCTCCTCCTAAATCGTATTGGAGGAGAAGGTCCAAGGTCCCTCCCCTCTGACCTTTTTCTCCAATGTGTTTTGAGAAGGATGCGAGGTCAGAGGATGTGAGGAATCAAGGAAATATGAATTGAGAAAGAGTAGGGGAGGGAGGAGGCTAACACAGGGAGGCTGCTGACACGAGGAGGGGGTATAACAGATAAAGAAAGGGGGGTCGGAGATCCAGAGGGGGTAGGGGTGTAGGGAGGATCCAGAGGGTGGAAGGCACAAGGCCCAGAAATTAACGGGCTACCCCACAGAGACACCATATTGTCTGGAATAATGATATTCAGATTATTAAAAATGAATTAATTTTGTGGGGGGACATGTCAGAGTGAGTCCCTATCCCGAGAGGGTTAAGTGTATTATTTCTCCCAGTATGAGGCCTAATGCTGATCACACGTCTTAAATGCCACCCTCTTAATCTGATTCCTATTGCACTGCCACTCCATTAGAGACTGTTGGTATAATCTGGATTTGATTTGGTGACTGAACCTCTCCTTGGCTGCCCTCCATACCCAGTCCTCTATAATGCACAGAGATAGATGACAGAATAACATGGACGACCCTATTTGTCATGTTCTAACAGGATTATCAATAGAGACACACACTGACTATTAATATCCTCAATTAGTTTACTTTAATGGCCACATTATGAGATGCCACAATTACTATTGTGACTTTTAAATTGTTAATATGGTCTTAGATAAATTGGGTCTGTCTTAATAAAATTAATATTATTATGGTTTTAGCTGGGTTTGGTCTTAACCATTTACACTAATGGTATCTTTCATGCACCACAGTACTGTACATTTATAAAAACTTGATTTTTATATAGTAAATGTTTACACTGTCTGGGGCGATGGATTTGTGGCATCGAAAATGTATGTTGTATTGTCAACCTAGACTTGTAATTGTCAAACTGAAATATCTCATGTCCATTTCAGGCCGTGTGTGTGCGTGATAAACTATGGTGTCATCACAAAGCCATTTCAGCTATTAGACAAGAACTGTTGACCCCATGCCAGACCACTGAGAGGATCAGTCTTACTAAGAGAAAGAGAAAAATGAAGAATGGAGGGGAAAAGGAGAAGTGCAGTAAAGGCCGGGTCTGGAAACAAAGAAGCCTTCTACACAGAGAGGATGGGTCACATGGTAGGAAGTAGAAGTCATTGTATTGATTTACACAATCATGCATAAAGCTGGAGGGTCAGTGACTGGATTGATGTTAGGCTGGGTCAGAATCGAAAAAGGCCCCATACTACAGTCATGCATTGGGCTGTGGTGTTAGAAATAGGTTCTATTGAAATTAGGCCGGGTCAGAGATAGGCGCTAACCCATATCTGCTATAGTGGATCTAACACATAGACCATGCAGGATAGTGTAGATCTGAGTAGAGTAGAACAGGTTGTTAGTGTAGATCTATAGTAGTGTAGACCAGGTTGCTATATAGTGTAGATTTGTGTAGAGTAGACCAGGGGTGTGTTCAGAACGGTGTGCAACGTTTAATTCACACACAAACGTACCTCAAAGGCTGTTGAAGAACGGTGTGCACCGTTTTGGGGAAACGTGTCATTCAGTACAAACCGTCACGCAACGTAGCAAACGTTGAACCGAACTGAACGCACCTCAGGTTGTTAGATCAAAGCATTAACATTTACATGTAGATCTGTGTAGAATAGTCCAGGTTGTTAGATCAAAGCATTAACATTTACATGTAGATCTGTGTAGAGTAGTCCAGGTTGTTAGATCTAAGCATTAACATTTACATGTAGATCTGTGTAGAGTAGTCCAAGTTGTTAGATATAAGCAGCCACATGCTTTAGATTAAAGAGGTGATAATCCTGAAGAAAAGCCCCTCCTCTATCACGCAGAGGGATGACCAGCCTCATGGCCACACTGACACACACACACACACACACACACACACACACACACACACTTGGAGTTGGAAGTAGACTGTAGACTAGTCTGGATCTAATAAAGGCCAATATACCTGCTGATCTACAGTATAGAATGTCCTACATTCACAAAACACTCCAGGAAAGTGACTAAGAAAAATCTAAACTAGGAAGTGGTAGCTGGTACCTAGTTTTGTCAATATCTAACCAAACAATTTCTGTTGACTATCCATCTAAAATAATAGTCAAGGTTATGAATATTATCAACTATATTTCACACTTAATTTGAATTAGTATTTTCATTGTAGACCTTTAGATGGGCCTAGAGTAAAGATGTGTTCTCCTGGCAAGGTCTATCCCAGCACCCCCATGTGTTGTCATATCTGTAATATCTGCTTGGTAACAGTGGGACATTATTATGATTGGGCTGATGCTGCTGACAGAGACCTCCAGAACGGCTGGCATGATAGTGGGAGACACCTATCCATCACACACACACACACACACACACACACACACAGACAGACAGACAGACTACACTGGGAACTGACAAGGTGCAGTCTATCCTGATAATTTGTGGTTCTGTGCAGATGAGTGTAAACGTCTTTGTGTTCCGTACCTGCTCTCTGCAACTCTGCCATTTGACGCCTTCTTCAAAGCTCATACTGAACCCTCTGAGATGGGAAGCCACGATGATAACTACTTATAAAGCTAGAGATGGTTCCGAGATTTGGTTTGGTGATAACTACAGTGATTGTTCAGTGATTTGGTGTGGGGGGAGGGACTTCTTTACTGTGCAGAAATGTGCAGCAACTTCGTCTGCATAAAAATATCTAGTTTACTGGTGTTGTGCATAAATGTGTCTTGCTTCTACTGAGGTCTTGATAACATAATAAACGGTTTCATATTAGTAATACGATTGGAATAGTTAAAGAGTATTTCTGTAGCAGTAATACCTATGTAGGCCTAATTTCCTTCAGAAGAAAATACTAGGCCTACTCAACTCAATTATATATATAATTAGGCTAAAGTAATAATCATAATAATAATAACAATAATGTATTGTTTTTTTTAGTTGCAATTGTTTTGTTTTGTTTAATTTGTTCTATCATCCTATTCGTGATAATTGTAAACACTGCTCTCACACAACACTCACCGGGAATGATGTCTACAATGTACAACATCAATAATTTGTCGAGTATTAACAGTAACGGCCTGCTTATGAACACCTTGTGTTCACAACCTGTTAATGCTGACAAGATGCTGTTATACAATATTGTGGACTATATAATAATCGGAATCACGTATTTCAACAAACTAACAAGATGCTTTCAATAAAACATTTACCAATGCTGAAAAATAATTCATATTGGAAATATATTAAAAAGCCTACACATGTATAGATTACAGTCTTACAAAACAGTGGTATAGCTAATGGAAATATCTATGGCATCTTTATTTTTCTCCACTGAAAAGATGAGTGTCCTATTTAATTTGACAAATTCATCCTTCAATTAATGAGGGATAGTAGGCCTATTTCATACATTGAAATAACGAAAAATATGAACATTCAAATTAAAAAACGTCTTAATTGAAAAGTAGGCATGAAGATTTATTTTCTTGCGTTGAATAGCCTATACAACAACACTAAGTAAAAACAATCAACTTCTAAGGGGCATTGGGCCTTTATGTTATCATTAGCCTATTTATGCTGGAAAAGAAAACAGAGAAAATTAACCGGTCCACTATTTTTAACTACTACAATGTTCAGGCATACATGCATTATTGTCAAAATAACCATGCGTGTAATTTCACAGGCCTAATAATTATACAATAGCCTAGCCTACTGATATGCTAAAGATGTAAATCCATATAATATAGGCTATTTCAACATGCAGTAGGATATTTTTTTCTTCGGACACTGCATTCCAAATTGCTATTTGAAATGTCCCTGTAGAATAGATTTAGCAGTGCGAATCGTCTGTCAGAGCAAAAAATAAATAAAGACATAACCCCACGCAACGACTGTCATCAAATCTGTCATTTAAGTCGTCGTGTCTAATATTAGATCAGGTACCGTCCTGAGGCTGTGGACAATACAGACACACTAATCTAATCTACAAGAATAAAACAAAACGATAATCAGAGAAAATAAGAATAATAAACACAAGAAAAATACAACCTAAAATATGTTTTATTCAAAACAAATATATAAGCAAAACATTGTCATATTTTATAGCCTACCTAAAGTAACATACAACCAAGCAGTCTAAAATGAGCAGTTGAAGAAAATCCGTTAAAATGTCAAAAAGACAGCCTGAAAGAAAGCAGAAAAGGGCTCTGTTTTTTCTCTCCCCAATGCGTAGGTGGACTTCCGATCCTCGACATTACTACCTTTAGTTTAAATTGTATATAAAACCGGGGGATTAATTTGTTGTCGATTAACTGGAGGCGGTGACGAATCAGATGGCGATTGGACATCCCCATTCCTAACCCTCCCTTTATAATTTCCCGAAGAGCGTCCGGGCTGTTAAACACAGAAAGACTCAGCCGCCTCCACGACGCCCTCTCACACACACACACACACACACACACACAGACAGCACCGCGCACTTTCACATGCGGATCCATAACTACAGCAGTGATTAGAGAAATAACAAAAACAAAGACGAGGTTCTTTTGACTACTGACGTGAGAAGGTGTAATATGGACTTTTGATAATTATTCGCAAATCGAAGGACATACTTTTTCCAACTGCAGTTCAATGCAAAAGCTTATGATTTAGACCGGCGAGATTATTACGCATGTGCCCCAACTAGCAACAGGCTGGGTTGGGTCTTTTGGAACACATTTTTTTTCTTTTTAATAGCGTTCTTTTTTCTCTAAAATTGGCTCCCGTACAAACAGCCGCGTTGGATCCGTCGGCTTACTGCGAGACTCCGGTCTACAACCCGGATCTCTGCCCTAACATGATAGCCGCCCAGGCCAAGCTGGTGTACCACCTCAACAAATACTACCAGGAGAAATGCCAATCTCGGAAGGCGGCCATCTCCAAGACCATCCGGGAGGTGTGCAAGGTGGTGTCGGACGTCTTGAAGGAGGTGGAGGTGCAGGAGCCCCGCTTCATCAGCTCTCTCAATGAGATGGACAACCGCTTCGAGGGGCTAGAGGTCATCTCCCCCACGGAGTTCGAGGTGGTGCTCTACCTCAACCAGATGGGGGTGTTTAACTTCGTGGATGATGGGTCTCTGCCGGGCTGCGCCGTGCTCAAGCTGAGCGACGGCCGCAAGAGGAGCATGTCTCTCTGGGTAGAATTCATCACCGCCTCCGGCTACCTCTCTGCGCGCAAGATCCGCTCCAGATTTCAGACCCTAGTGGCGCAGGCCGTGGATAAATGCAGCTATAGAGATGTTGTCAAAATGGTGTCTGACACCAGCGAGGTGAAGTTACGCATCAGAGACAGATACATCGTTCAGATCACCCCGGCTTTCAAATGTACCGGGATCTGGCCCCGCAGCGCAGCGCACTGGCCCCTACCGCACATCCCCTGGCCAGGGCCCAACAGGGTAGCCGAGGTAAAGGCCGAGGGATTCAACCTTCTCTCTAAAGAGTGCTACTCGTTGAACGGAAAACAAAGTTCGGCAGAGAGCGACGCCTGGGTCCTGCAGTTCGGCGAGGCCGAGAACCGCCTACTCCTGGGAGGCTGCAGGAAGAAATGTCTGTCGGTCCTTAAGACGTTACGGGACCGGCACCTTGAGCTGCCTGGGACACCCCTCAACAACTACCACATGAAGACTCTGGTTTCTTATGAGTGTGAAAAACATCCACGGGAGTCTGACTGGGACGAGAACAACCTCGGGGACCGTTTGAACGGGATTCTATTGCAGCTTATTTCGTGTTTGCAGTGCAGGAGGTGTCCCCATTACTTCCTGCCTAATCTAGACCTGTTCCAGGGGAAACCTCATTCTGCTCTAGAAAATGCAGCCAAACAGACCTGGCGACTGGCGAGAGAGATTCTGACCAACCCCAAAAGCTTGGAGAAACTCTGAGGTAAATGTGTGTTATAGTGAAGAAGAGTCAGTGAGAGGCCTGGTGATGTATCAAAGAACTATGGACAGAAATGATCACTGCACCCCTGTTTTATTCACGGTCTTGTAAAATGTGACTATCCTCTGATGATGAAGACGTTTACTCTGAGATCATTTTTATGACATTTAGTCAAATATGACCCTTCTCTTAATTATATTCTGTGATGTCCTACCATCAATCCACATTCAAGGTTAGGTTACAATTCAGTGTTAATCTTTCGTTATTTCTCTCCATGCCCACAGTTGTCTAAATCGTTTATTTGCTTAAACGCTTTAAAATAAAGCCCCCATACAAGCCTTGACAAAATAACTGTACAATTTCTACTGTAAATACATTCATAGGTTGTGATTCCAGTGGTCTGAAATGGTGAATGTTGTTCTGTGACATGTAAACTTAGGAGATCAATTCCACCTTTTAAAGTAAAACGCCTGAACATTTTTTTATCTGGTAGAAAATACATTAGTATATTCATTTCAGTGATAGTCTGCTGTATCTGTTGTCAGTGGACATTTTCTAATTTTGAAAGTTTACATTTTGATGGTATTATCTGTTACGTTTTTAAAAAAAACATTCCATAAATATACATACTTGAATTCTTATTTAAAGTATACTCGATCATTTTTGTTTGTACCTTGCTTACATGATCAAACCTGAAAATAAGAATATATATATAAATACAGTCTAATTGAAAAGAAAAAATGCACTTGAAATACACTGGATTATAACATTTGTGATCTGATTTTTTATTCCTGTCTCTGAACTAATTTAAAGAGTTAGCCTAATAAAAACGACCTATGTAATATTTGTGTCCCAATCATGATTAATGAAATGTATAACTTGTATTTTTTTTTTTTTATCACATATAGGGCATATTTATTGTCGGCACCATACATGGGTATTTTATAGGCCTAGTGTTTAACCCATTTTAAATTACGCAAACATAGTTTGTCATATCTCTATTAGTTCCGGCTAAAGGCCTACCCTCCATATTGTATCTATCAGGTTGTCTACGTTATAATAATAGGCTGTCAAATTAAAAGCTTTTTATAGGGAAAAACAAATGTATGAGAGGTACGGTTGGGGTTAGACATTAGGCCTATATTTCTACACGAAGACTGCGCAAAATTGAACGCTTAATTGTGAAAATGTCTAGGTTACAACGTTAGTATTAGCCTAATAGTACAAGTGGTTATCCCATTTCCATACACAGTCTCTATATTTATAAACAATGATAATATTGGTCTAAAATCGAACAGACCTCGTAGGCTCTCGTTTGATGACATGGATTTTCAGGTTTTGAGGGGATCAGAATATCAATAAATGTGTAAAATATTGTAGGCCTACAGGTCAGGTTCTCTTCAGGTGGAGCCTCGCGCTCGTATAAGCCTAGGCCTGGGTATGCTTAAGGCTCGTCTACATTCTGGGAATCCAGATGGCACAACGTTCCAATTAGACCAAATAATCTAAAATGCTCCACTATCTCCTAATGGTTGAATTGTTGCACATGGGTGAACCTGGATAATTGTTTTCATCTCTAAATCACATTTTGTGTCTTGCACAAGAAAGGAACCTGGGGTCTATGCGGGCCCAGCCTAAACATGAACATGAGTCAGTAAAGTGAACTTGAACGTGAACAAAAGCTTGTGGGGTAATCGCATATCAAACAGAAAGGGAAAGTAGCGGTTGGACTTACCGTGGAGTCAAGCCGTTTGAAGGAGGGGTCATCCTCATCCACTTCGAAATAGATCTCGGTCGTCGTGATGGAGAGCGTCCCTCGCGCCACTATTACCGGGGCCACGAGCTGGGCCGGGGTGCTGAGGACCACTGGGCCTATAATGCGTAATACATGGTGCATCAGATATAAGGACAAACAATATATGGTCTTTAACAATTCCTAACAAATAATTTGATTTGTTTGATTGTGAATTATTATCAAATTTGACTATACTTCGATTTAGTCAGAGAAGATATTGAGACGATGTAATGTCTAGGATGCAAATTCTACAATTTCTTCTTAATTTGGGCACATGCACGGTTCTTAATTATCATGGTAACATGTCTTCATTCAGAGTAATAAAAAAAAATGCAAACTCGAATTATTCGTTCTGGCTATAAAACAGGTTATTTTGAACCAAATCGCTATTCGGCCTATTCAACAAGCATATAGGCCTATATACATTCTAGGCTTACAAAACTATATGAAGCTAATTTACATAAGTAATAACCATTTTAACTAAAGGCGCGTGCGGTGCAATAAGGCCAGCAGTGTCATATGGCCTATCAGAACTAAACCAGAGATGGAGGATCGCTTGCCAATATGATGACTGGTCACTTATGACAATATCCGTATTATTATTATTATGCATATTTGCATACTGATATGTTTCATAACAATTATATCAGTTACTATAACGACAACTGGGGCCACTAAAAGAGAGACACAACACCACCCCAAATTACTGTTTCAATATGCATAGCATCCTAAACTAATTAAATGTTTTAGAAAAACTTTATTTGAGGGAAAATAAAAGCGTTTATATTTGTGCTGACAATATCCGTTCAGTATTTTTACGATGGCTTTTTGACCCTTGGTCAGCTGACGGGATCACATGCAATCTCTCTTTCTGTCTCCACCCCTCATCTCCATCTCTCCTCCTGTCCTCTGCCTCTCCCTCCATGTTCTATGTTCTATTTGGATCAGTATCGCTGAGGCGCGCGGCTCCAGTGATTTGTCTCGAGCTCAAATGAATGCTTTTGAAATTGGGATATTTATCGATCGCGTGAACTCCAAAGAGCCACTTTAATTTCTCATCAATCTTAATCTTGTGCTCCTCAGCCAATTATGCCCGATACTGTTGCAAGATTACAAGTGGATTTTGGTTTCAATTCCCTGGGCGCTCTTTCATTGTGCTCACGGAGCGTTCATGAATAGTGGAATCGGCTTTCCTACGCTTTCTCTCTGCCTGCCCTAGCTGCCTGTAATAAACTCTCTGCCTGTATTAAACTGATCTTATCTGATTACACTATCACCGTTTAACATGTGCTTTACAAGCTGTAGTAAACATGCAATATCCCGGGTCTAATAACGTTGCAGTTGTAGGCTATTGTAGGCCTATGAGAACATTTGACCCTAATATGCCTCACAACATATTAATGAATAGATACTACAAAATACACTGACATATAATGCATTATACAATATAATAACTGCGATGTGCTCACAGAATTGAAAGCCATGCTTTTGAAAATGAAACGAAACGTGATCAAACATTAATTATTATTCTAATACTCATATTTATCACTGTCATATTTATTAGCCTATGTAATTATCTTGTAATGACACTTGTTCTTAATGTTGTTTCCACATTTAGACAAATATTAAACCCGCCCCATGTTAGGCTACATTTGAACAGAGAATTAGGCCAACGTCTCAGTAAACGGACAGATATTGTTTTACAGTCGATGCTGTTGCAAGAGATTCCCATCAATCTGAAGGGTTTGTCTTTCTGCAACATAAACTGTCTATTCCAAGACCTCTAGTCTACTCCCCCTCGGAGAGAAAGAGAGAATAATAAGACGTTGGAGGGTACAGAACCATTGTGTTGTGGCCTGAAGGGACTCTGGTACAGAGAGAGACAATACAGCCTTAATCCACTGGATCCACTGCGCTACAGGGACGGGATTTAGCTGTAATCCCTCTAGGGATACTCCATAATTAGGAGTTAGTATTAAAACCTTTACACAATAATAATAAATGATACAGGTTTCCATATGCCAAAGGACTGGATTCGGTTAATACATGCGATATAACGCTATATTTTTGGAGTGGTTTTCTTAGAATGTCCTTAAAAAATAGTTATAGTAGTAATAATATTTATATTATATATTAACACACACACTCCTTTTACGCATATGGTCCTCAAAATTATATTTAAATTGTACATGGAGCAAACCATTCAATTTCTAGCAAAAATAATTCCAGTTATAATATTCTATTACATAGTCCTAGTTTCTTAGTGTTACAGTTCTATTTTATATGTACTCTAGTCTTGTATGTCTATGGGGAAGGTAAACTGATAAACAGTCTGGTCTGATGAAGACTGTCACAGTGATGTCACTGCTGCACTGCTACACAGACACAAGGCATTCTGGGTAGTGTCATAATTAAAACAGCACTGTTCATTCTCCCAAAATCCAGATTGCCCAACATGCCTCTCAAAGGCTTGAATAAGTCTAAGACTTACCTTTATAGGGCACTATTTTCGACCAGGGCACATAGGCCATTAGGGTGCAATTAAGGACCCAGCCTAAAACAGTTCCACTTCTTATCATATATGCAAGAAAGATTATAGTAGTCATTTCCTAAACATGCAATGTAGTCAGTGATATTATAAGTAATTCAAAACATCCTGAGCACTGTACTATTTTATGAGGTTTTGTCTAAGTATTTATGACAATATTATCTTGCACTCATAAGGCTAATTATTACCCATGTAAGGGATAAAATTATGCCAGAGAGAGAGCGAGAGAGAGAGACAGAGAGAGACAGAGAGCGACCGAGACAGAGAGAGATATGATAACGGTGCACTCCCCTCGTTAGGGCATGATAATGCCTCCTTGAGAGAGTACAGCCTGTCTTTGACTGGTCCATTCAAAGGTCTGTCAGTTAAGATCATTAATATCTCAACTAAAACAGTAAACAGCCACTATCTAAACACAACACCTCCCTTTCCCTCTTCCATCCTCTCCTCTCCTCTCCTCTCCTTGAGATTTGGGTTACAGATGAGTAGACAAAAGGAGTGTGTTGATGCCAGTGAGAGCAGACGGTGTTGCCAGTGTTCAGGGGGAGTGAAACTAATCATGGGTTTGGTAACCACAGGGCAGGCCCGGCCCCATAGCTAGCTGGGCCGAGGGTAAGCCACGCCCCCTCTGGCAGCAGACACTGACCTGATGGTTGGTT